ATTCAAAAATCATTTTATTCATTCTTCTATTGAACATCCATCGATTCATTCATTTATTGAGGCATTCATTTGTTCATTCAAGACTTCATTTGATAATTCACTTATTCAAGAATTCATTTATTCATTCAAGAATTCATTTATTCATTCAAGAATTCATTGATTCATTCAAGAATTCATTTATTCATTCAAGAATTCATTTATTCATTCAAGAATTCATTCATTAATTCATTCAAGAATTCATTTATTCATTCATTCAAGAATTCATTTATTCATTCATTCAAGAATTCATTTATTCATTCAAGAATTCATTTATTCATTCAAGAATTCATTCATTGATTCATTCAAGAATTCATTTATTCATTCAAGAATTCATTCATTGATTCATTCAAGAATTCATTCATTGATTCATTCAAGAATTCATTTATTCATTCATTCATTAATTCATTCAAGAATTCATTTATTCATTCAAGAATTCATTTATTCATTCAAGAATTCATTCATTGATTCATTCAAGAATTCATTTATTCATTCAAGAATTCATTCATTGATTCATTCAAGAATTCATTTATTCATTCAAGAATTCATTCATTTATTCATTCAAGAATTCATTCATTTATTCATTCAAGAATTCATTTATTCATTCAAGAATTCATTTAATAATTCATTTATTCAAGAATTTCCAGACTTTATTTATTCATTCATTAATTTGATAATTCATTCAAGAAAACATCCAGTCAGTGTTTCACTTTTCGTGTAATCATGCATTCATTCATTGAAAAATTTGTTCATTCATTCAAAAATTAACTATTTATTCATTCAAGAATTCATTCCAAAATCCCTTCACTCACATTTAATCATGTTTTTTATTTATTCATGTAATTTTTCATTCTTTTATCCCACCTTTTAATCACTCAATCATTTTCATATCTATTCCTTTCATCATTTTATCATTTTTTATATATTTGAACATTCCTTTGCTGACAATATGCTTTTCTCTACAAAAAATGTTGCTTATCAGTATGCAATCATGAAATATCCAGTTCAGTGTAGCTCTTTGATATGAAGTGTATGAATACTTTGCTTCAGTGCTCAGTAGAATGAGTCACGATAATTTACATATTACATATAATAAATGCTTGTTAATTTCACTTCAGAATTAGTCAGAAATGACTTTTCAATAAAGCTTATATTTGCAACTTTTTTTTTTTTTAAGGAATAGTAAGTTTTGAGAATTTTTAGATCACTGATTATAAAATAAAAATGTTATATAGGATTTTGCTGTTGTTTTATCTCTTACTTTGTCTTAAAAACTTAAAAGATTATCTTGTGTTGTCTTGGATTGTCTTGTATTGTCTTGTAAAAGACTATGAAACCGATAAAATTGCACACTTATAATGTATCTGATTTTGTTGTTGTTGTCCGTTATAACAGTTGAATATCATATCAAAAATGGTTCTGTGTATACAAAAGTGAAACAGGATTTTTTAAAGGTTTTATTTAATTAATCTCATTATCTAAATTAATTAAGTTAAGTTTTTTTTTGGTTGTCTGTAATTGACAGTGTAAAAGAAATGTTCTGATGTAAATAAATTGAAAATTTCCCTTATTATATTTTAAGATTTATTGCGAAATGGGGGAAAGAATATTGAGTTTTAAAACAATTGAAAATAATGACGTCTACTAAGTCTACTAAAATTTTTTCCAATCAGATTTTCATTCCTCACATATACCAATCCTTGCACTCACATATACCAGTCCTTGCACTCAAATATACTAGTCCTTGCATTCACATTACCGCTCCTGGCACTCACATATACCAGTCCTTGCACTCAAATATACTAGTCCTTGCATTCACATTACCGCTCCTGGCACTCACATATACCAGTCCTTGCACTCAAATATACTAGTCCTTGCATTCACATTACCGCTCCTTGCACTCACATATACCAGTCCTTGCACTCAAATATCTCAGACCTTGCACTCAAATATACCAGTCCTTGCACTAAAATATACCAATCCTTGCACTCACATATACCAGTCCTTGCACTCAAATATACTAGTCCTTGCACTCAAATATACCAATCCTTGCACTCACATATACCAGTCCTTGCACTCAAATATACCAGTCCTTGCACTCAAATATACCAGTCCTTGCACTCAAATATACCAATCCTTGCACTCACATATACCAGTCCTTGCACTCAAATATACCAGTCCTTGCACTCACATATACCAGTCCTTGCACTCAAATATATCAGACCTTGCACTCAAATATACCAGTCCTTGCACTCACATATATCAATCCTTGCACTCACATATACCAGTCCTTGCACTCAAATATACTAGTCCTTGCATTCACATTACCGCTCCTTGCACTCACATATACCAGTCCTTGCACTCCCATTTACCAGTCCTTGCACTCACATATACCAGTCCTTGCACTCAAATATATCAGACCTTGCACTCAAATATACCAGTCCTTGCACTCACATATACCAGTCCTTGCACTCACATATTCAAGTTTTTATACGCCCACATTATAATGTGGTCGTATATTGTCTTTGCCCCTGTCCACCCATCAGTCCGTCTGTCCACAATTGGCGTGTGAACGCAATTAAGACAACATTTTTTATCTGATTTGAATGAAATTTGGTGTGATCATTTATATGCATGAGATCTTGGACAGGTTCGAATTTGATCATCCTTCGATGAACGGTTTTTGAGTTATTGCCCTTGATATATGAAAAACGCGTCAAAATTTGTTTGTGAACACAATAGAGAGTACAGTTTTTATCCGATTTAAATGAAATTTGGTGTGATCATTTATAATGAGATCTTAGTCAAGATTAAATTTGACAATTTTTCGATCAACAGAATTTGAGTTATTGCCCGTAACTTAGTAAAAACGCATCAAAATTTGTTAGCGATAGAGGTGAAAGATTATGTCAGAATTTTATTAAATAATGTGTGTTTGTTTAAATCAACAATATCTTGCACAAATTAGATTTTTGGTATGATTTAACACAGATAGGTGACTGCCCTTAATAGACTGAAAATGTATCAGGAAAGTGGGAGTATCTTGCTAGACAACCACTTGTTGTCTGTGCCTTCACATTTGAAGTTTTTGCTCATGCCCTTACATAACATTCTGCCTAAACATACCGTATTTTATCCATACTGAATTGAAGTTGGGTACAGCTTTAATGGGCTAAGCTCAACTTTTTTTGAAAAAAAGAACTTGTGTACTGGCTATATTTTGATATATCTATATAATAGACCACAAGGAGAAGGCTATGGCGCTAAAAAAATTGAAAATCAGACGTTTAAAAAGTTATAAGCAAATAAAGTTAATAATTTAGTCACTTTTTAAACCTTTAGGGAAAACCCAGAAATGATTTTACAATATTGAAAAAATTGATATTTCTGTGTGTCAAAGGGAGGGGATAGAAATTTTTACAATAATTTTGAAGAAAGTACAGATTTTGATTACAATAATGGACATAATTTACTTCAAAGATTCCAATTAGAATCACACAGCAAGGCAGGACAAGTTCAATTGACTAAAATGATATTTGATTTGAAAAGAAATTGCTGAGCTATCAATTTGATATGACTAATGATAATTTATGCGTATATTAATTAGACCGGGTAGAATGAGTATGGGTGGCATATGGAGAGGATTAACAGAATGACTTTATACCTATTATATAGTATAGTATCTATTTTGACAGAATATTAACCTATTTATAATGTGGTTGTGTAGGTGTTTAAGGGGTTCTGTAGTTCTGTAGATGGATAGAGCGTTTGAAACATTATTTAAGAATTAAACGTTGGTCTCACTAGCATTTATTGGTGTATAAACGCAGTTGATCACCTGACAAACTGAATAAATGACGAAGTCATTTATGTATGTTTGTGGTGTGATAAACCTATCAAGTTACTAGTCCAGTGCTGTAAATGTATGGACACCATCCCAAATGCATGGAGAATAAACTACCCTATTATGCCTTTAATGATGACCTTAAAACCTTGGTTTCCATCCTGGATACTAATGTTCCACTTGGGTTAAATTGAAACATTTCAGGGGTTACTTTAGAAACTTTTTAGGACAATTTTAGAAGGTTATTTCTGTATTGCGAATAAAAATTTATTGAAAGTGTTTCTGCTGCATGTCCCAAAATGTCATGGACATTGGTTTATGTCCTGACTCCTAACAACTCTTCACTGTGAAGGTTTCATTGGTATTTTACAAGGGATACTTGGGGTTTCCAAGGTAACAGGTACTGGGCGTCTAATTTCTTTTTTACGTTACCAGCTGATTGAGCTTACATTAGGCTGTCCATATCACTTTTACAATTTGAATCCTGATTCATCTGAAATTCATCAAAATGTACAGCAGTATGGCAAATATTTAGACAGATATCTTTCCGATAAATATTTAAATGTTAACATCAATCCAAATATTTCCTTTTCTATCTTACTCACCGAGTACTAGGGTACTAAATTGATTTAACGCTCATAATTTACGCGCAAGGTTTTTTTTGTTTTAGTATCGGATGAGTCATGCCTTGGTAGATTATAAAAATAAAATATGGTTAAAAATGGATTCCTTTAAACTAATATGTTGTTTGGTGTCTTGAATTGTTAGCCCTATGTATAAATAGTTACAAAAACTCAAAAATTAAAAAACACTGGCGATATATTCAGTGTTTCAGTTATAAGTTTCCATAAATGCTGTTTAGACTGCTGTGAATATTTTGGTCATCAGATTCTGTTAATCTTTTTGATTTAACCTGTTCTCTAATATTAGGCCCTACTCGTTTACAACCAATCTCAAACTGGATTCCGAATATGTGTCACTTATTTACAACGGTTTGCCCTGAATCCGCATCCGGATTTCGAATCTGTGAATTCGCCTCTTAGCGCAGATTCGTCAAAATCAAGATGGCGTCATTCATAGGGCACTTATAATTTTAAATTAGTCTTGCTTTTCGAATCTGTTTCACTCATTTACAACACTTATCTGATGTACCAAACCGGTTTCTGATTTTTTGTAATCGAGTAGGGTAAATTTTCTGGTGGTAAATTTGGTTTCAAATAGTGATAAAACAAGGTCATATCATGAGATCCATTTATGGAATATAACTTGATGGTTGAAGATTATGTCTTCAATAGAAAGTAAAACACAGGCAACTGGTGGCAATTTTCAGTTGTTAATATGTTCAGCTTGATTGAATACAGCAACTGATCATATTTTCAAAGGTAGGAGTTGATGAAAATATTTTTGCTCCAAGATTCTCTCAGTCGCATGGTCGATCTGAGCCCTAGTTAGAAATTGTTATTGTTACAACTAAATTTTCAAATTTGAAATTAACATCCAGACTTTCTAAAGGTGGCAATCCAGCTTTAAAATACTATGTGATAATATCAGAATGACTATTATGGTAACCAATAGAGACAATTAGCTATGTACATTGTACCATTAGTTTATATAATAGATTTATACAGTACCGACAAAAGACATGAAAAGACTGGAAAAACAAACAGCCTCTATGATGTTCCGTCTGGTATGTTTGTTATCAATATCGTTAAATTAAATAAAACATACTGGACAAAAGGGTCACAGCAGGGCTGTTGATATTACTGTATTTGCCAGTCCTGTTTAGCTTTCACATTGAGTATTTTGGTGTGCATCATAAAAAGCACATGTCTAGATCAGAAAGCAAGAGATGTTGTGTTTCTGATTCTGATGTAACGACTGCTTTGCTTGTCAATTACAAAGTAAAATTAGATAAACCTATGATTTTGTAGAAGACTATAAACTTTTGAAACAGGTCTGTTGCTTTGACCATTCATGGCAGACAGTTTTGACAAGACCTCTGATTTTGGCAAGAACTTCAAACTAGTTGGTTGGTATTCTGATTTATTTATTATAATTGATGTAACTTTAGTTGTCAGTTGTTAAGTCCCAACAGAACTCTCAACTATAACAAAACTTCTGTGGACTGAACAAAAATTAATAATAAAAATTAATTTATATATGCAAATCTCTATTATCATCTTAAAATTGATTATTTTTATTTTCCATGAAAAAACATATCTGAAATGTCAAAGTGCTCCTGGATAATTTGAATTTTTTTAAAAATGTTAAGTGTGTTTATTCCAATTAAACATTCTTATTAAATTCACATCATGATCAGCAGATTATCACAATACAAAAGAGTTTTATTTTAATTTCAAATGATATGCTTTAGTTTACATTTTGTATTTGTTGTGCACCTTGCTGATAATGGTATCTATGTTAATGTTCAGATTTTACTAAAGATTAATATAAATCAAGCAGTTTCATTATCATTATCATCATCATTATCAGTGACTTAAAGTCAATGTATGCCAGATTAAGTAGATGATAGTAGGATAAGTCTTTTAAATATCCTGCTCAAAATTGAAATTGAAATAAACACGTACCTTTTTTCTTCTGAAACTCAAAATCCCACTAATTGTGGGAAATTGAAATAAATTGAAATTGGGTAGAGAGATATTTTATGCTAGGTGACAAAGGTAACAGATTCAATTCCCATCAAAGTTACCAACTTATCTTAAGATGTAAATTGTCTTCCATGATAGAGTTTACAAGAATGATTTTAATTATATACTGTATATTTGCGTGTATAATGCGCAGTTTTTTTTACCCTAAAAAGAGCTTGCTGGGATGCTCATTATACACTGTACCTATTTCACGCCTCGATTTGAACACATGCAAGGCTCATAGCGCAGTAAGCCATCAATTGAAAAGATAGCGACATATTATGAAGGAATAGTCTATATGACATTATACATACGATCAACAATTGTCTTGAAACTACCCTTTCTCAGAAGTGTGTCAAGGTAAATGAAGGTGTTATTAAATAGCTTAATCAATTGCGATTTTAATGATTTTAAAGCTAGAAAAGAACACATTAAAGATGTTAAGCTGGTGATACTAAGCAGTGACACAACATTACTGTTTTTTGTTTGCGTTATGAGCCTATTGTCCAATATTGACAATAAACCGTGTGCTACAGACTGTGCACGTTAAAGATCCCCCGACAGTTAGAAATCGAAAAAGAGCAGGCTAATGCAACTGTCCTGGCAAAATTTCCCTTGTTGCACCCTGCATGGCGTTACCCGTCTTCATTAGCCGACAAGATGCAGAAAAGTAGGAGGTAAAACTCCATTCATTTCATTTCATTTCGATTCAATATGATGATGCCTGAATAAGGTCTATTAGCAATTGTTTCAGGTTTTCTACGAAGGCACTAGTTGAGATTATTAGGAAAGTTGTGACTTCATTTTTTATGTACATATGATACAGTAGAAGCAATAGATATCATTGAGCATTTGTATAGAACTGGAATTCTAACTGTAAAATTATTATCTTGCATTCATTACTCATATTAATTTAATAAACTGTAAATTGGCATCAACCCAATCATATAGAAAGTTGTGTTCTATTCATTGATAAAGTGAAGATCAGAATCCATTCAACAATATACTGAACATGGACATTAGTATCTGATTTTCAGACAGTTTAATTCTGTTGATAATGGGCTAATCTGGTTAAATTGTTATATTATGTTAATCAGAATTTAAAGGTAGTTATCAGTGTTAGTCATTTAGTCATTGGTAATGATTCTGTGATTCTAGATGACCACTGTTTGATGATGAGACTTACTATGTTGAAGATCATTGAGGCAAAATGAGTTGATTGAAACTCATAGTCATCAAAATTTTGTTTTAAATTTCTAAAAGTTAATGTATGCTAATGAATTTTAAATAGTGATTAGGGTGGTTGAAAAGAAACCAGTTATTATTGACTAGCAACTGGTCACTATTCAACAGAAGGCACTGGCATAGGATTTAGAATAGTGTTCACTTTAAGGAAAGAAAGATAGTTAACAGTAACAGAGATACACATGAATGACTTGATTAATCCTGATTTAAATCAGAAGGTGTCAACTTTGAGTCTTGGTAATAGATATTTAACCCCCACTTTCAAATGGGCTGTCCTGATGAGGATTTAATATCTGAAACATGTGTCAGCAACATGAGATGAGCTCTTAGTAACTATATGTGGAAGACAACAAAATTATAAGTTGGTATATCATCTAGGATGTCTTTTGGACTTTGACTTATAGATTGCCATTTGGATTCTGGATAGATGCATTTCTCTATGTGTATTACACCTTTTTATCTGTAAATAATCCTTGAACAACATTTAGGGGTAGAGTTCACATTTTGTGGTATACTACTCCCGAGTTTTAATGTACACATCCATTCACCAATTTACATTGTCATCATCAGATGGAATTTAATTACATATATTACACAATATTTTGTTCTGTTATTTTTTTTGTGATATCTATGATAAGTTTATACCATAGTTTTTAGTATAACAGACATCAGATCTATGGTGGACAAATCCTTTGAGGAAGCACTGACATTAATTTTAAAATAAATGGACAATATTGATTTAATTGTCAATATATTGTGTATAGAAGTAGGGTATATAGAGAATACTGGTCATTATAGGAGTGTTATTGACCCTTCTATCTATAATAATACCAGGTATGACTCATATTCTACAATCTCAACAGTCTGGTATAGTGCTTCTCTCTTGTCATAGACTCAAGCACGAGAGTGAAAACTGGAAGTTTCCAGCAGGTCATTGACTCTTATCCTGTCATGTTTGCCTACAGGGTTTTCTAAAAGGATCATTTCCTGCAGCAATTCAAAGAAAGTGAATGAAAGGTTATTATAGTGCTTCAGTCATCTGATTTTCCAAAGTCGGTTATCTTGCTTACCCTTTAATAAAATAGTTTGACAGACTCTTTGTTTTGGCTTTGAAAGGACAATTCCTCATTTTCAGTTGCCAGTGGGAATAATGGATCTTCAACTTTTGAAATTTTAAATTCCAATCTATTGCCATTTAAGATTATATATGACAATAATTACAGAAGCAATGTTTTTATCAATATATTCAACCATCACTGATATCCTAAGAACTATAGGGGGGGTGATGAAATACACTGACAGATATCAGTGGAGCAGTAACTTAATCAGCGCATTTTTACAGTAAGAAAAATAGAATGATAGTTTTTATCAAAACATAGATCAATGTTAAATGTAAAGTAAAATGTGGATCTTGTTATCATTATAGGGAAATAAATACTACCTTATCTTGGGACTAGATGAATCAGACAGATAATATTGTTAAATGAAGTTTTACGTCCTACTCTTCTGCACCTAAGTAGGCAAATGAAGACAGGCAATGCCATGCAGGGTACAATGAAGGATATTTTGCCAGGACAGATACTTTATCCATGTCAGCCCCTCTGACATTCATTCCATCAAAGAATTACAGCCATATATGTTAAATTAAACCACAATTATAGAACAGATGTTAATTTTGGACTGACAAAGTCAGGTCCTATGTAACAGGTAATAATATAAAACAATCTGCTAATTGATATTGGTTTAAATTGTTAATTACAACTTCTATTTCTAGATAGGATACAGACACCACAAACATTTATATTGACCAAATTATTTGAAATGATATCAGAACTGTAATGAACAACCCTTTAAAATAAAGCTCAGAGAGTTGGTATGAATGAGATTGAGTCATAAAGACATCATTGACTTTGTTTTTCCTAATTACTAACTGACTGTTTTATGCCAGTTGAATATTGAATCATAAAGAGTACTGATTCTCAGAAGTTTTAGTATTAGTAGTGACTAATACTTTGATGACTGCATGCATGATTAACTCCACTATAAGCCAGAACTCTTTTCTTTTTCAACTTTGATGGCTATAGCTTTTGATATCCCTGATATTACAGTGGAAAGGTGAAAGGTTGATGCTCTTTCATGATAACACATCAAGTATGATTGAGCATGAGCTGTAGCACAGTTGGTAAAGGTGTTGGAATCTTCACTTCATTTTCTTGGTTGTTTCAAACAAATGGTGGCCATGGGTTTGAATTTCGGTTGTCTTGTAAAATCTACCAGTCATGTTTCCTCATTATTCCAGTCAGTCCAGTAAAGATCAATGCAGTGTGGTTGTTTCTTTGGTTTGAGATTCAAAATGTTTTCATTAAGTAAAGAAGGTTGCTGTTATCCTATGTCTTCTTTGGAAAAAATTGACTACATGTAGCCTATCATAAACCAAATGTTCCGTTTGGTAACATCAGAAAAGTATAACCTCAACCAAGCTCTAAGGTTAGATTCTGTAGCTTTACAAACTGTTTCTTTTCTTTAGGGGTATTCAACTTATATAAAATAAGGGAAATAAGACCTTTTTGTTAACTATATACTGGTCCTTAATCAAAATGATTTCTCTTTTTAAAATCATGCTATATTTTTGCTACTTTTTTTAAATATGGCAACAGTTGGAAAAACCAAATAGAATATAGACATTAAAAATGTATAACAGAAGAAAGTATTCAGGACTTACTTAAGTCTTATTTTGAAATTTAAAAAAAATATATTTTAATCCTTGATTTTAATCTTTTGATAAAATCATGAGGGAAGTATTTCCTTAATCCAAGTCATGTGACCAGGAATTGACGTGTAATATATCACGATATTTTATTCTAGTAAATGAGTCACTGTTTAGCTCTATCTTGTTGTTTTTTTTCAATTAAAAATATATCTTAAAGGAAAAGTTGATGGTTAATCTTGATATTGCTTAGGTTTATTTATGTTATAAGTCTCATAATGTGTTATAGAATATTGTTGATGATTTGCTCCAATACTTTATAAACTGTATTAACTTTGACATAAGTATATGTAGAAGTGACAAATCTATGAAAAGCTAGGTACCATTTCACACAAAAATCTTATGATTATTTTTGTCGCAAGTCTCGTATTTTTTAACATAAAATTCCACACTTAAGACAAATTCAGATTGGTCAGCCATGTCTGGTTGCTATAGTAACTTAAATATATTGTAACTATAAGGCCTACTTTAATACAGCATAATTTTCAACTAATTTTTACAGGTCCAATTTCAGATATTCGTTTAAACCGGCATGGTATATTTTTTGTAAGTTGGAGAGAATTCATCATCATTCAAACTTATCTCCCTTATTCATCAAGTGATACATGGTTTACAACTTTCTTGTCTTTTCAGAATGAAGGTATAGATCATGGTATGGCCAAAATCTCTGCTTTATTACTTGATGCTGCAGCTTTTATTTCTAAACATAGGTAAGTACTGTTACCAATGATGTTTCCAAAACTATCTGTCCTGTTGTTGATTTTATATCTGAAGTCATGTGATGCAGCATTCGTTGAGCTTTGGTCAATTAAGTTGGTACACAGATCCTTATTCACTCTCACAGATCTGTATATACATAAATATCAATTGCACAAGATGTAATAATGTATGTGATCTGTATTGTGGTATTGTGTGGGGCACAAACATTGCAGAATATTTGGAAATATCTTGACAATTTTGCTTTTGTCACGTGAAAATTCTCAAAAACTATCAATTAAAAAATGGATCAGACTTACTCCCATGAAAGTGATATCAATGTCTGTCGAAATCACATTTGTATATGTATTATTATGTCTGAGGAACTGGTAAGGAAGATTTGTTGGGCTTCCAGTATATAAACCTGGACTTTGATTTATCAGATAAATCCATGTTTATAATTGGTTTTTTTTTAGTGAAAGTAATAAATGTAGATTATTATTATCAGTAAATGATAAATATAAAACACTAGTAGCTATCAGTAGACAGTTTGGTTTTATTTCATCTCATATACATGGTGAGTTCAGATCCACATTTTCTTTCAATTATGCAGGTGACTTGATAGAAATGTCTTCAAAATAAATCAACCATGGGATAAAGGCTGTGCATGTTGAAGATGCCTTGGCAATTGAATATCAAAAGAGAGTAATCAAATCTGCTTGTAACATTTTCCCTCATTGGACACTGCAGTGCATTACTATAGTGTATGTTTCTAGCAAGTCAAGTTTGAAATAAATATATTGACATATCTCTGAAACATCTGATTCCACTTTGCTACTGACTTTATCATCTCTTTTGAAGAGTCCACATACATTTTTTGGGTTATTTTTTGTCTTAAAAATTTTGTTTTGTAAATTTATAGAGACTGGTCATCAGGATGGAAAACAGTGTGACTTGATGTTAAAGACTAAAGATGATGTAGAAATATTGTCCAGTTATACAATACATGAAACAGAAATCAGACTGAATAACATTAAGTTTAAATCTCCAACATCATGATGAATTGTTTATTCAGAGTTATTGAAATCCATGTAAAGATCAGGCTGTGATATTGGTGGTCTAAATACAACCATCATAATGGATCAGGTTTTCTAGAGAATGAACTAATGATGTGTTATGGTGAAGATTGTTGTTTAAAGAAATGGAACTGCTGATCTGGATCTAGTTTTGAAGTATTTTTGTTGATGGTTTATTTTTAATGAAACTTTTATTTAGAATTTGTTGAAGATAAAGTTGATATTATATTATATAAATATGATAAGGTTATATTAATATATTGCCTGCAGCAAGCCATCTATATGTACATAATGCATACTTCCTGATGCAAAAATTTTAATTTTGACAAAATAGGAGGCATAGCAAAGATTTTCAGGTCTGTTCTCTCAGTGAAAAGACACAATGACAGCTCTGGGGGCTATATACCAAATGTGTAACATATAGTGACTCGTTTATGGAGGGGACATCCATAGCATGACACATTCTTCACCTGTATAACTACCTTTTTACTGTATAAATTACTGTTGCTATATACAAAATACAAAAAACTTAATATTCAAATTATATTTCCTTCACAACTATAACAAAAATGATATATTAATATATATTAAAATAATAGAAACACCGGTAAAAAAAATAAATATTATGGAAATGTGAGTACCTTAAATCTATTTCAAAACTTACTTTTGATTCTAACACATCTGTTCAACTTTATTCCAAACAAAGATCTGAAACATATCTATACATAATAAATATTCAGAAGTATCTGGTCAAGCATCTATCCATGATAAATATCTATCCATAATAAATATCTATCCAATAACATTCGGATAAATCTATCCATAATAAATATCTATTCATAACAAATATCTATCCATGATAAATATAATATCTATTCATAATAAATATCTATCCATGATAAATATCTATTCATAATAAATATTTTTCCATTAACATTCAGAAATATCTATCCATGATAAATATCTATCCATAATAAATATCTATCCATGATAAATATCTATTCATAATAAACATCTATTCATAATAACTATCTATTCATAATAAATATCTATCCATGATAAATATCTTTCCATTAACATTCAGAAATATCTATCCATGATAAATATCTATTCATAATAAATATCTATCCATGAGAAATATCTATCCATGATAAATATCTATTCATAATAAATACCTTTCCATTAACATTCAGAAATATCTATCCATGATAAATATCTATTCATAATAAATATCTATCCATGATAAATATCTATTCATAATAAATATCTATCCATGATAAATATCTATCCATGATAAATATCTATTCATAATAAATATCTATCCATGATAAATATCTATTCATAATAAATATCTTTCCATTAACATTCAGAAATATCTATCCATGATAAATATCTATCCATAATAAATATCTATCCATGATAAATATCTATTCATAATAAACATCTATTCATAATAAATATCTATTCATAATAAATATCTTTCCATTAACATTCAGAAATATCTATCCATGACAAATATCTATTCATAATAAATATCTATCCATGATAAATATCTATTCATAATAAATATCTATCCATGATAAATATCTATTCATAATAAATATCTTTCCATAAACATTCAGAAATATTTATCCATGATAAATATCTATTCATAATAAACATCTATCCATTATAAATATCTATTCATAATAAATATCTATCCATGATAAATATCTATTTATAATAAATATCTATCCATGATAAATATCTATTCATAATAAATATCTATCCATGATAAATATCTATTCATAATAAATATCTATCCAATAACATTCAGAAATGAAATGAATGGAGTTTTACGTCCTATTCCTCTACACCTTGTGGGCTAATGAAGACGGGCAATGCCATGCAGGGTGCCATGAGGGAAATTTTGCCAGGTCAGCGTCATTAGCCTGCTCTTTTTCGATTTAACATGCACAGCCTGTGGCACATGGGGCCTCGGTTTATTGTCCCATCCGAACGACTAGACGCTTTTTCCATGTCAGCCCCTCTTACCTGTATCACTGACAGGGGGAAACGGAGTTGAAAAATCCGAAGGTATTATCTAGACCTATGCTGGGATTGAACCCTGGACCTTCACGTTAGCGAGCAAGTGTCTCCCCATTAACATTCAGAAATATCTATCCAAAATAAATATCTATTCATAATAAATATCTATTCATTATAAATATTTATCCATTAACATTCAGATATATCTATCCATAATAAATATCTATTCATAATAAATATCTATTCATAATAAATATCTTTCCATTAACATTCAGATATATCTATCCAAAATAAATATCTATTCATAATAATATCTATTCATAATAAATATATATCCATTAACATTAAGATATATCTATCCATGATAAATATCTATCCATAATAAATATCTATCCAATAACATTCGGATAAATCCATAATAAATATCTATTCATAACTAATATCTATCCAATGGATAGTATTCATTACCATTCAGAAATATCTATCCAAAATTATCTATCCTAATATCCTAATATATATTTATTATGTATCCATGATAAATATTAAGAAGTTTCAATCCATAATACAAAACCCAAACTTATCTATCCATAATATATAAATATATATATATACATGTATATATATTAAATATACTCTAATGATAAATAATCCAGAAATATACATCCATAATAAATATTTAGAATTATGTATTCATGATACAAATCTAGAATTGTCTGTTCACGTGGATTTACTTGGTATAATTTCTATTTGATTCATGAATAAATATCCAGAATTATCTATCATTATAAATATCCAGAATTATAAATATCCAGAATTATAAAATATCAAGAAGTATCTATCATAATAAATATCCAGAATTATAAATATCCATAAATATCAAGGAGTATCTATCATAATAAATATCCAGAATCATAAATATCCATAAATATCAAGAAGTATCTATCATAATAAATATCCAGAATTATAAATATCCATAAATATCAAGGAGTATCTATCATAATAAATATACTAATATATTCTAAAATAACAGTGTACATTAAAAACACAAATACACATGTTATAAAAATCATAAACACTCTTTTTTGCAGCTTTAAGTAACACACTATTGAGGTGTATGGTGTGGGCGGTTAATTTTTTTTAAGCTTTGTGTGTACTGACTAAAGTTTTTACGAAAGCACAAGCACAGGACATACACTAGGGTTGCTCTCAGACCCCTATAAGGAATGATAAGTAATATATAAGTTTAAAGGTCAGCAACGACGTTCAAATTATTCAAGTGTTTCCGTCATCTACCTAATCACTAAAATCAATTTTAAATTTATTTTGAAGTATCCAATCACAAAACTGTTTTTCAAAAGCTTAATTTTATTGTGGTTAGATTTAAAAGAAAATTAAGAATAAAGAATAAAGTAGTTGATAAATGCTTGTATCCATCTTGATCTGGACACCAGTACCGGTATATCTTCTTGCCTCTATATCAAAATGCAATTTTAGATTATTTCAAGCCATATTATCATGAAAGCTAATAACATATGAAAACCAATTCCCCCCTGACAACTAACAATAAGACAATATATTACATATAAATTAAACATCTTTCTTCACTTTGATAACTTGAAACAAATTATAAACAAAGTTTTCCATGAAAAATGGCACATTTCTCTATGAGCCTTTCGCAAAGCCTGTAGATAGTGTCATGGTTTCTCGTACTATATTGTTTCAAAATATTCATTAAGCTTACAGTACACGTAACTCTGAATAGTTGATGTTATAGAGCATTATATTTACTCATCAGATTTTTCCAGAAACTTAACTTGGAAATGAAATTAGTGTTAGAGTCCTCTGATAATTAGAATAAGCCTCTGAAAAGTAACTAACAAACTTTCTGACAATAGCCACCATATTTTCAATGAAAGTCAACAACAAACATATACAACAAACACTCAAATAGCAAAAATATACTGAAAGACATGTATAAGGTTTTGATAGCTCTAATCAAACCAATGATCTCCTTGACACGATGTAGTCCATTCTGTTTCACAAATCCAACACCAACTGAAACCACAACGGGAACATGACATGTGCGAACACCCACCTGAAATACATGTGTAATTCTCTCAGATAAGTTTCTAATAAGCAGTTTAATTCATTAAGTGGTTACAAGTGCTATCTATATAATAAGGTTTCAGTAAGTGCCAAATGAAAAACCAGATATCCCATATTATCAAAAGCACAAAATTGCAAACTATATTCATGCTTCTGCATTTAAAATAATATAGTATTAAATTTAATGTAAAATTAGTAAAGACAAGGGAAGTAACTCCAAATAAGAATTCACCTACCATCTTTTTCTGTTGGTGATCTGCATTCTTTATTAGGACAGAGTTTCGTTGTTTTAGAAATAATCTGTAAACTTTGTTTCTCCCATCTGGCTCTTTGAGCTCTCTCTTCATCTACTGGATTGTCCTAAAATATCAAATATATACTTTCACAGCTGTCTTATGCTTCAAAATAACCAAATAGTTTCAAAAAGATTTTGTCTCCTCACTGTGATTGAAGTTAACAGTTGCCTTATATTCACTGCCTGGCACTTAATTCATTCCATAAAAATGACTGATTTGGCCATGTGGATGAATCAAATTTTGATCATCAAACACCAAGAGGATATGTGGAACAGACTGGTATCCTTGACAACTGGGAAATTTGATGGGAAAAAAAAAAATAGTCAAAGATAATAATTTACCTGGTGTGGAGGTAATAATAACTGAACATTACAATCACCCTCATGTACGGCTCCTCGACAGTCAGCACAAAAATTATACTGTAATAGAAATGTGAATAAAAGACCTTCCAGAATTTTAAACCTGAAGTTAAATTAACCATCTTGGTGTCTTGATATTAAACAATGCCCCCTAAATCTCAAGTTTACAGAATCATTAGAATGACATTAGTTGGATAGCTAAGTCGAAAACAAATTTGACTTAAAACCCTTAAAGACAAAAAATCTGTCAATTAATTAAACATTCAACCAAGAACCTGCTTTTACCAATGTACACCACAGTACAAATGTATAAATCCTGTGCCAATGCCTTGTAATGCTATTTACAAAGTTATGACTTAAACCCTACCTCACAATCAGCACATCTTAATTTTCGTTGATCATGAAATGATTCAGGATAAATGGCGTTTCCACAATCTGGTCCTGGACACAAAATAGCACCAGTCCTTAAAGCATACTCTTCTGCAGCAAATTCTTTATATTTATTATACTGAAACATACAAAACAACTGATAAAACTTTGATAAATATGTATTGTATACTACCCATGGGTAAGGGGGCACTCAATTGATGAGTTCTGGATTTGAGGGATTCATGTAATCAACCAAACCTTCAATAAAACAATTTGAACCAGGATTCAGAACTCATTCATATGTGACGAAAAAATATAAAGTGTAGACAGAATTCAATATAAATAGATTAAGGAATAGAAAAAGAACTTTGAATGTGACATATCTGTTTCCATACAGTCCATTAAGTCGAGAACTGGAATAGATCGATCCTCTTCAGAGCTCACCAAATCGAGCAGCACATGTGACAACAAATGGAAATTTTACTGTTTTATTCTGAGTAAAAATCATGTTAAAGATAAGAACACACAGTCACAGCACATATTTAAGTATATATGGAAAGTATGCACATTTACTGAAGAGGAGGAAAACTTACCAATTCCTCTCCCATTAAACAGAAATGATGATTCTCTTGAATTAAAGAACCCTCACATTTAGCTGAAACAGAGAGAGACAAAAGATTCCAGTGACAAACATCCTCTTGGGAATATACTGGTACATGCAAGGTGATTAAAATGCAAATCTGGATGATATATTTGTGTTTTATCTGGGGGTTGCCATCCATGATCTGATGAAATCACTATGCATTTCATGTTGGGGGTCATATAATAATAATGGGGTCTCAGTTTATTGTCTTTATGGTTAGATACCCACAATATTATATATCTGATTACCTACCAGGACAGGGCAATGTGTAACCATAATCATCATTGTGTATAAACCTTCTCTCATTTAACATAACTTCACAATATCTCGTAAAACAATCTAAACATGTCACATGACCATCTGGACATGGATACACTAATACTGGAGATCTGAAATATAACCAATCATAATAATATATTGAAAAGAGTTTTATATCCTGTTTTCTGGCACCTTCCTGGATGACTAAAATAAAATCAATGGACTTCACCATTGTGAAGTTTGGCATCAATAATCAGTCAACATTGAAGGGATAGAGTTATTTTTTCAGAATGATAATAATCCAGTAACTGTTCAGCTGGACATCACCCAATTCAAATTAAGCCCAGATTTTACCTCATTCTATTGGTCTAAAAACAAGTCGTATTTTAACATTTTCAGGTTAAAATCATAAGATTTTATCATGCTAAATAAAAATATTGAAAGAAACATTAAAAGAAATGGATCAAACAAGGGGAGAAATAAAAAACTAAACTTACTGCTTTTCTCCACAAGCTATACAGTCTATCTGTCTGCTATTAGGTCTGATATGACGTAAACCAACAGGCTTACAATAGATATCATTATGACTTTCACCACATTTAAAATAAAACTCCTGAAAAATATAACACACAATATAATTATAGAAACACAAATTATTATACGCAGTGGCCTTTCTAGGAAAAATTAGTTGATTAGGCCACAAAACTTTTTAGGGGGGCACAGGCTATTCTTTTACTATGAAAAATTTTGAAAGTGGGGGGGAGGGGTGGTATAGAAAAGTGCCTGGATCCCCGAAAAAAATCCCCTGATTCTACATGGGACAGAATATCATAATCATGATTGAAGTGAAATGGGTGTGCTAAATTCTTTCAGTCCATGGGAAATGAACATTGCTACTAAAGACCTGTTGATTTGACTGAATGTGCCAGTCATGTTGGGAAAATATGCCAAACCATGATTTTGGTCAATGAGATGTCTTTTGTATTCACATATAATTATTGTTGTTAGTCATTTCCAGATACAGAGAATAAAGGTAATAAAACACATACTGCCATTTTTCCATCACAAGTTTGATTTTGACAATTTCCTGAAATTCTGTTTGGTACTGTAATATCATACCAACTATCAGGTCCCTGTAAAATAAGGCAATGAATCAAGTGAGAGGTGTGGGTGTTCATCAATACCTGACAGTCAGCTTATTCTAGAACAAAGACATTAAGGAAGCCAAAATTTGCTTAAAGAGGCAGATGCCCCATTTCCAGTGGTTGATTTTTGTCTTGAATATATGTAAATAGCCTTCGGAAGTACTATAAATGTACGAAAATCGTATAATTCCTTCAAAATACCTCAAATTAGGCATTTAATCTTCTATTTCTATATATGTCTATTTATCACAAAGATTACAGGTTTAAGGACCTTCATACTTACATACTTTTTCAAATAAATGCAATTTTTTTTAAAAATTTTTAAATTTTTTAAAGTAACGGTAAAAATTCTTACCCTATCAGTTATAAAGGCACCTTCTTTACAAGTTGAACAATTAAACCTTAATTTACCAGGATTCAATCCTCTACAGTCTTTACAATATACATAATACTGACAGCGAATATTTACATGAGGTCCTACAAAATAATATTACATTTAATATGATCTGGAGTTACAAGGAAGTAATAAGAAATTTGATAGTTGGGGCCAAAACTGGCTGCTTCAGATATATTTGTAATCTGTGGATATTGATAAAGCAACTTCATTCAAGATCTCAACAATACACACAGTGGTGTTCTAGGAATCATTAGTTGATGAAGCCGAGCAGTGGCCACAAAATTTTCCAGGGGGCCCACAAGGTATTCTTTTACAATGTGAATTGTTAACAATTTTGAAAGTGGGTGGGCCAAAGAAGGGACACCACTGAATACACATAAGCATTCAAAGAATTGTGGTACTAAGTCAGTATTGTCCAAAAGGTGGAGAACCAACGGGTTAGGACATTCCAGGAAAAAAATTCAAGTTCAACATTTATATGGAAAGGCATAGTTGGTGTACAATGTTGATCAAGAATCTTTCAAGAAGTGAAACAAAATCTATCTAAATAACCATCAGTTTGAACAGATTTTTAACTTCCATATAAGTTGTCAATCAGTAACTTTTATCCTTTTTGATAGGAAACATTTTTAGCTAAATTTCACTATAGGTTTAAAAGTATAATCTGAAATTTGTTTCATAGAAATGTCTATTCATTATTTGAATTTCATGATGAATAACACAAAACAGTCATGGTTTTTATTTTAGAATTTCCTTATTTCACTGTATACTTACATCATTATATGATATATCACATCATAAATTTATTAACAAAATAACCTACTTAAAAACATGTCCTCTATCACAAACATGCGTTTATAATATTTGGGAGTTTATTAAAAGTGAAGTATATAAATCATATATTAATTCATAAATTGAAAAATATACAGTCATGTATTTAAAGAGACAGATTCGCCATATTTGGGGGATTGATTTGAGTCTTGAATACATGTAAATAGTCTTCAGAAGTACTATAGATGTACAAAATCACATAATTCCTTTAAAAATACTTCAAACTAGGAATTTTTACTCACTATATATGTATTTCTATATTACAGAGTCTCAAGAAAAGAGGAGTTATCATTTTAACTTTATAACACAGATAATTCTGGACACAAATGGATTTAAACCCTCAACGATGAGCTGTGAACACTATTACTGATTAGCTTAGCTAAAAAAAATCTATTTCTGAGACTAAGGTATGATTGATCAGGATGAATGACAAACCTGTCCCTTTAACAATGATAAAAACATAGGTTTCTAAAGATCTTGTTTAACATCCGATATTTGTACACCCCTTTTAAACTTGTCAATGATCCTTCCTGGTTTACAGTATCAATTACAGCTGAGTTGACAGAATGATTTCATGCATGTATGACTCTCAAGGTCAACCAACTTACATACTGTGAAATCAATTTCACACATAAGTAGATACAACAATGATGTCATAAAATTCCAATAGAACTAACCAACTGAGCTACAACCCTTCTTTAGGTGATATACCATATGATAAGAGCACTGATAGTATACTGAGTCCTGTTTCATATTTTGTTGTTAGTATTTTATTTCTCCATGTAAAATTCCACTACAAATTCTTAAAGTAAGATTTTTTTACGGAGGATATCCAGATTACTATTGGTATTAAGATTGTGTCACTTACTATTAAAAGGTGTTTCACCATTGTCCCTCTTTCTAAAAGCATGTAACATAGTCTGATCACCAATACCATATTCCTACAAAAAACATTGTCATTTCATTCATCTCTTTTAATAACTCTTAGAAAGTCATGTGAAAGCATTAGCAATCCATTATTAAAAAGGCCACAAGAAGCTATAAATTTGCTATGATACACTTAAAAAAGCTAGAACAACCCTTAACCCCTTTACTAAAACATAGTTGTGGCTCCCAGGCTAGATATACTAAATAGCGGAAAACAATTTTACTCAGTACTACTCCTAAGTTTTTTGTTCACAATGTTTCAACAATTTACATTATCATCATCAGGTGAAAATGGATGACGACAATGCAAATTGTTGAAACATTGTGTGCAATTAAACTCAGGAGTAGTATACCATAAAATTGTGTTCCATTTAGAGATGGAGCCAGAGGGGGGACAGCCGCCGCCCCCTAGCAACAACGAAGGCATGTTTTTCGGGCAACATTCTCATAACTAGGATAGAAATTCGGGCAACCTCAGATATTTCGCCCTCCCTCTGGCATAAACCTGGCTCTGCCACTGGTTCCATTATCTAATTTGATTTCTGCCCCTAAATGTCGCTTAAGGATTAGGCTGAATATAATGTGCCAGTCAACTATTTAACACCCCTGAACTTTCCTTTGAACACTTCCATAAGTGTATATTTCTATCAATATGAAACTGTAATAGAATAACCCATTTGTTAAAATCTGGGATGTTTTTTGTATCCAGGGTTAACATGGGTCAAGAGGTGAATATTAGTAAGTAAAACTGACCTGTAGAGTGGAGTCATCATCCAGAATATTTCCACCAATAATAAACCTCAATTCTTCTTCACAAATATCATCAATTTTTTCTAGAATCATCGCCTTCAATTCTTTGATACTGCAGGTTTCTAATACATTTAAAGTGAAATTCTCACAGTTATATCGTACAGTAACTGTTAGGTACTTCTCTCTCAGTCCCCCAGTTCCTAATATCCTAAATACTGCAGACAACATGGCTGACACTTCTTCCACAAACTTGGCTCAATCACCTTCAGGACTACATCTTGGATTCTCTGGAAATAGGAAACAGAGGTAATGATTTTACAAAAGATATGGAAATTACACTAATTTCAAAATAAACTAAAGAAAAAATTCCATCCATATGATAATTGATTTTGCTTTTGTTTGTTTGTTTGCTTTTTTCACATTTAAGTCCCTTCATGATGAGTGATGTTGTCAAACACAATGATTTAGAGGAATTGCAAGAACCATAGAGATTGAAAATTGGAATGGTACAAATTTGTGCTTTAAGTGTCCCTGATACACATTATAAGTTCAAAAAGCCTCTTTACAATCCCTTTAACTACTCTATTTTGGGCACAGTGACTCAATGGTTGTGGTAGCCCACTGTAATTGTAATTGAATGGCTTACAAAATTAACATACATCTGCATTTTTGACAATGTACCCTTGCCATAAAATTCTAAATGTCATATCATGTTAGCTATATCAGTCAAACCATTTGATTGCAGTGTCAGTTGTCATTCACATCATATATCATACATCATACGTAATCTGAGCTTTAATTGATTAATAAAGAAAATAGTTACTGATATCTGTTTCTTCAATTTTTGCCTAGTTTCCAATTTTAGAAATTACTCAGTTATCTACTGGAAATTCCAAACGAAACGTCAATCACAAGGTGTCAAGATGTCGAGTCCTTCTTTGTGGTCTGAAGTCCCAGAATAATCGAGATCAAAATTTCGGTCTTTTAAAAGGAATAAACTATCCAAGTTGACAACTATACTGGCAAGTAGAAAGATTTCTGTAATTCTAAAATTCTTGCATTCACAAGATTCTCTCTGATTTAACAACAATTTATCAGAATATTATCATATTTCTCCAAGGTGCATTTCTTTTTTTCCCCTTCACCTGTAATCAAGAGTTATTTCCCTTCAACTGTCAGTCAACTGGTAGTGTTGATTGTCAAGACGTAGAGCGAAACTGAGAGTAACTCTGTTATGAATTTATTCTTGGGGAATTGGTTATTCTTGGTAATTGGATATAAGCCTAGCTTATTCTTGAGTAATTGAGGTGAAGAGTTAACTCATTCTTGAGTAATTGAGCATAGGCCATGTAACATGTTTGTTCTTGGGTAGGTCTAGCCTAATTGAAGATAGGCTCCACTACGATAGGCCTAGCTTATTCTTAAGTAAATGAGTATAGGCCTATACCCATAGGCCTAGGATGGGCTTAAATTTTTCTTGAGTAATTGAGTATAGAATAAACCTATTGTAGAGTTAGAGTTGAGGATAGGCCTAGCTTAATCTTGAATTCTTGAGCAATCAGGCCTAGCTTTTTCTATCGCAAATGAGGATAGACTTAACACATTCTTGTGTTATTGAGGATAGGTCTAGCATGTTTTTGGTAATTGAGCTAGATAATTGAAGAAATTAAGAATAATCTGAGGCCAAATAGGCTATATTGATCTTTTGTGATTGAAAATATGCTTGGTTATACCGCCACAATAAAGGAAGAGCTAAGGTTATCATTGGTTACTGAGAAAAGGCCTATAGCCTGTGTTATAATTTGGTAATCTATCTCCCTACCCCGTGATCTTGCATCCTTCTCAAGTGCCCAGCAAGCTATTCCTTTCAATAAAAGAAGAAAGCTAGACTAGTAGAAAAGCCTTTATAGTCTCAAACTTTCTGTACAAATACATCTTCAGATATAATATATTTAATATAATAAAGGGGTTTTATTTAATATGGATGAATGAGGGGATAAAATGGATGAATAAAATTGACAATATGAAAATATTAACAATGAACAAAATATAAATTATACCATTTAGTAAAATACACAAACATGTATTCTTAAAATCTATTCCCAAAATATAACCAGTGCATATTTGAACTTAATTCTTTGCTCAGAGGTTAGGGTTATTAATTTCAATCTTTATTTTTAGAGCTGTAAAAATTACAGCAGTTTTTTTCTTTTATTTCTAAAGCTATCTTTATTTGATTAGGATTAATTTGTTTTTGTGTTCAGACACACATGTTCAAGATGTAATATAAAACCCTTTTGTTGAACTGTTGGTTTCTAGAAAAAAATAGCAGGGAGGGAAGTGTATCTTATTTCCATAGAATTTCTTCATCTTGTTCATTTCTCAAATGCAAGTAAATGAGTTAAAACATGAATAAATTGACTTTTAACATGCAGAAACAACAAATATCATTAAATTTTCAAAAATATCAATGAATTCAATAAATGATATGAATTTTCTTTAAAAAATAGAATTTTATGACACAATGTTTTCATGGACAGATTTTTGAAGGCAGATTCTTAAGAAAATAATTGCAAAAATAGGCATTTCTTTCATGCTTGATCATATAAACTTTATTTTTGTTCATACAACACATTCTAATATATTGCTCAATCAGTATTAATTATTAAAATTTTCTGTAACTCATTAACTTTGCAAAAAACAACTGTACAAAACTCTCTGAATTTTCAAATTTATTAGGCTTAATGTGATTGGACAGATTAAAATGTATCAATTGCTGCCATTGGACAACAATAAGGACAATATATTGACTAATATAAAAGGCTCAATGTGATTGGACAATGAATTAAAATGGATGGATCGACTAAATGAAGGCACGCTATATACAAGATGTTATATTTCTCATGCTAAATATAGAATTAATGCACCAGTTGCCATTTTCTAATTTGCATAAAATAGATCATGTGACATGATCATGTGACAAGGCTGTGTGATGTATGAATAAATTATGAAAATAAAACTTGGTTTGAAATCTTCAGTAAAACAGTAAATTGGTGTAAAGACTAATTAAGTTTATGTTAAGGACAAGGTTAACATTATCAAAAACTGAAAAACAATTTCATAATTAAAGTAAGATGAAAATGTGAAAATTCTAGATACAAACTACACCTTGATAAACAAATTTTTTATCCATTTAGTGAACAGGACTTAATCTTTAAAAGAGACACATATCAGAAGCAGTATATAGTTATAAATAGTGAAACACTAGATATATGGATATACACTGTGTTGCCAGTAGACTAATGGCTTGCAAAAAAGATCATGAACTTTATATTAATAAAAATAACCAATCACTAGGATAAGATCAAGGGCTAGTAATCTTTTTTCACCCTTTAAAGATAGTATGTACCCATAAATCTAGTGATTCTATCAGACTAAAATTACATAACATTTAATCTTAATTAGTTGTTCTGCTAACAGTGGCAGAGCCAAGTTTATGTCCAAGGGGGGGCGAAATATCTGAGATTTTCCGAATTTCTAACCTAGTTATGAGATTTTTGCCTGAAAACTTGCTTTTGGGACTGCCCCCCTTTTGGCCCACCACTGACTGCTAAGACAAGAAATAAATCTGATTATTATAATAAATTTAGTCTGCAGCTATAGAGATACTCTTTTAAAATTAACATAATAATCAGTGAAAAACTGACATCTAAAATTATACTTCATTGTGTCATTTGGTTAAAATGGTTTTGCCTTTCAAATCTTTAACATGCATAAAACAGGTATATTCTATAAAAAACAAATATCGTGGCAATTTTTTCTTCTTTGATGTTTTATTACACTATTTAACAGAGCTTCACAGAGTCTGTTTTATGATAAGGCACTGCCAAATATAAAATCTCAAAATCTTCGTTAACAAAATGGACGTTTAGTTACTTAAGGCTTATAAATATATCATAAGTCTAAAATTATTAAAATTTCATTTTAAATTCAATAAAACATATTTTGCATCTCAAAATTGGACAAAGATAAAATTTAGAAAGCTGTAAAGGTAATGAGCAATTTTCCCCAGATAATATATATACTATAAGAGTTGTCTTTCCTTGTTTTAAAATCTCTTAGAATATGCAAATGAAGTCAACCAGTGTGATGTGATATGAAGTGCATAGAAAAATAGTGATGTTTTATAGTTTCTGTATGTTATGATTTTTGATCTGTTTAAACCATGCAAATTAAAACTTCAGTAAAGCAAAATATAGTTATGTGGCAAGTAATGAATAGAAGCTTAGTTCATGTCTGATAATTACTCTTAGATTAACTGATGTCTCATGTCATAAAGATCTATACTGTTAAAAAGGCTATGTTCATACATAAAAATGGTCCAGGCTTCCAGAAATTAGGCATTTTAATTCTCTGTTGTTAGTTGGTTTTGCTTAATATAACAATTTTTATACTAAGTTACTTTGTTATATTTTTTAAAATTCATATAACAGCAAAATAATTTGCTTTCTTATTGCCACAAGCACATGTCTGAGACGATTTCTAGATTTGTCCCAAAATATTAATTTGAAAAAAATATATAATATAGGTCTAGTATTTAGATCAATCAGAAATACAGTGTTTTTGTAGATATTGGTCAACTTTTTGATCTTTTAAATATCTCGCCTAAGTTAATCTAAGTCAGTATTTATCAGACTGTATAGCATGAAATATTGGTGTATGGTGAACACAATGTTACATCAGCAACTAGAGAACCACACTTAATAATAATAATAATAAACAAACAAAACTTAACTAGTTAGTTAACTAAACAACTACAAACAAACACCAAGACATTTGGCAAGTTGGATATTAGGGATATGATGATGGATTTTCAAGAATTTTACTGTCAAGTTTTAACATGTGATTATATACTATCGGTACAATAAATTTTATGGCAAGATTTTGTAGAAAACCGAAACCAGTTCTGGTGGCCTGGCTAGGATTCAAATTAAATTGACAATATCAATAATTTCAATTCATCAAAAATATTAGTATATTTTTTTTTCTATAACATGTCCTTGAAATATTCATAAAAAATTGCTATAAATGGTGTTTATCAATGGCAATATAAAGACTTTAGCGTGGTCCCCAATATCCAACTACCTATATTGAGGGAGTTTTCAATACAAACTATATCCCTGTCAATACACTATAGAGAAAGGAACAGATGAAATATGCCCCTTCAGAGAGATTGGGTGAATTGATGTCAAAATATACTCTTCATGTTCCGTATCAGAGGGAAAATAATATGAATATTAAACAGTTAATCCTGTATAAGTTTGGTTAAGTTAATTATATTTTATTCAATGTTCTGATACTTCAATTACTACCATAGGTTGTAACTGAGTATATAAATATACTAAGTAAGGTAGAAATCAGGCATCAACAGCCGAAATTATGGAAAATTTGTTGAATGACATTGAAATATATTTTTGATATCAATTCTAAAATGACTAAAAATAAAACAAAAATAAAAAAAGAAATGGAAATTAGATTCCCATAAAGCACTAACAAATGTTATAAATGAAGCATGGTAGTCTTCATAATACCAGTCTGAATATTGTTTGATAACCTTAAACAATATCACTGGACAATAAAGACTAAATAAATGGGTGGAGATCCTTTAACAAAACAATCTTAAAATAACGATATAAAAACTTTGACACACTTGTTGGCATTGAAGTGCTCCGTTTTGTATTTCCTTGGTTTTTTTTATTAAGATGTGAACATAATGAACACTTATAAGTCTGAACGCTATTTGTTCTACACTTTGTTCACGGTGTTTCGTTCATAATAACACAATAGATCTATTGCTATATATATTAATATACTTTGTCTTTAGCACAATAATCTAATCCTTTAGGATTATAGAGTTATTCTCCTTTCATAAACACATTCACAAGAATAACCTCCCTTTAACCTAGTCTTGGTTATCCAGAATTGAAAATATGCTTATTCTAGAGAATTTAGTCCAGATCAAACTAGTCTTCACCGAGTAAAATGCTCTATTCTAAATTATCTCCAATAAAGGTTATAAGGTAGTCTAGATTATTCCAAGGTGTTTTAGTCTATGTTATCAAGTCTCAATCTTTAACTAGTTTATATGTATGATGTTGTGCTCCATGTTCTGATGTTGAAACTTCAAAAACAAAGGCAATACAGATCAATGTTTCCCGGGTATCTCTGTTGGTAATAACCTACAACAAACAAATAAAACATTAATGTGATTTCTAATGCTAAATACAGAAGGCTGCTGTATCATGGTTAAATTCAGCTTAATATGTTTGGATACAATCTGACTAGACATGTATGGCTTTAGAACTGATATTCGAGTTTCTGTTCATTAACCAATATCCAACCATTAACATTCTGCTCTCAAACACTAGCAACTTCAATTAAAAAAAGTTCCTTACGATCAAATTACTGACAGAATCTATTGACCCTCAGTCAATGCTCAATGACTGATTGTGTAACTAGAATTCTATTGATGTTTAAGCAAGGTTATGACAACTGATAGGGAATCACTCCCACAAACAAACAACCAACAAACAACAATTTCGATTCAAACATGCAAGATATTCCCAATACTGATTTCTTGAACCACAGTACAGCAGTTGAATGAAAAATTCCTCATTTGTGAATGACTTCAGCTTACCTGTAAAATGGTGAAGTTTTCTAGAACACTGTTCATCATGTATTTTTCTGGTAAATGTTTTAATTTATGTATAAAATTAATCATATATTCACACATTGGTGAACGGTGAATTCGGTACATAAATCTTCCATTTTCAAATCTTCCATATTCAGTCTGGAAAATAATGAAACATCTTTATAATTTTCAGAGTTAATCCAAATTACATAATGATACAAAGATACCAGATAATCAAGACTAAGAAATGATGAGGATCCTTGCTCAATTTTTTTTTTATCTAGTTTCCAGTATCAAAAATGTCTTACAATTTTTCATTAATGTCATAGAACACATCTCTATTCTAGGAATGATATATCTAAGTTTCACAAAAAGATGTCTTCTCAATGAAAATATTTTCTGATTCCACATGTTATTGATTTCTCAACTCAAAGCATGATGTATTATCTTACCTCGACCTTTTCCACCACCTGTTTACCAAATGAACACACTTTAGTTGATACCTGAATAGTCATATTCTCACTGCTTTCATACCTGCAAATTAATTTCATCACATTAGTGAGGGTATCTTGATTATTTTTCTTATTCAAGACATGGATATTCTTTTTCCTCCAAGTATGCCAATATCACCAAAAACCATTGATTAATATCTGTGTGGATTGTTTTTTTCGCTCGTTTCATTACACTTTTCCACAATGTCTGGATTTCTGATCCCGAGGTTGATAAAGTAAAATAATGTAACGTGTACTTACTGACTTGTGACACCATAAAAAGCACCAGCCTCATCTTGAACATTAGTATTAATATCGGCCTACAATATAAAGTAAATAAATTACTACTGATGTCATATTTTCTCAGTTTATCATCACTAATATCATTATTAATAGTAACTCAACCTGTATTTGTGGTTTTTCTCATAATTCAAGGTGCAAATGAAACAGATCACAATTTATGCAGCCATCAAATTTTAAAACGACAGTGTTACAGCTAGTGCTATCTTAGTCAATTACTAAATCTGCAACTTGAAGCAAAATCAAGTTTATCAAATGTAACAAATTGAAATGTACACAATTGGATTTAACACTCAAACTGAACTGGTTTATAATATTTCAATCATTTTAATCTTAATTTAATACAAAGATAAATAATATGAACAAGAAACTTACCCAGAATTTGACAAGAAAGAATGCTGTTTGAGGACCTTTATCATATAAATCTTTTAAACCATCTTTTTTCTCAGGGAATTTATCATAGATCTGACGGATATCAACTGACTGAAAAAAGAATTAAAAAGGTTGCATTTAATAATCCTACCTAATTCTACTGTTCTATGCTTGACAAATGGTAGACTACAGCTGGGGTTGAATAATCAAGTCCAGTGGACAAGCACCTTCAACATCCTTTCTTAGTTCAACCATAAACATTGAACTTGATATAGTCCTTTATCATACCGATATTGAATTTACTTGACAAGTTTTATTTGAAATCACATAACTAAAAATAACTTTTATTGCCATCCTTACAATTTTGGACCTCAGACCATGTTATATTAATTAGTTGTGTTTTATATTGACATACAATGCACATACCTATCTTATGTAGAACATACGTTAATCAAATAGGCATATTCAAAAGTGTCTTTTTAAAATAGACTCACCTCTAGCAGTGGGTCGTTGTAGGTGGGATTGGATTGAATATGAACAAATAAATGTTTATGATAAGAATCAGGATCACGCTGTTGTTCCAGAAACGCTGAAAATTCACCCAGACGTAATTTGGGACCTGCTATTGAACGACCTTGCCAAGCTGGGGTCATCTCACCAGGAATAGAAGGTGGTATTTTAGCATCTAAACCATAACTCGGTGAACCAAATGGTTTTACACTGAAATTACAATTTAAATAATATTTAAAAAGTGGAAATACATAAAAATTAGGCAGTTAGTAATATAATATAAGAAAGATGCACTATGTGCCACCCAATTAATGTGTTTTAAACAGCTGCCTCTAAAACGTTGGCTGAAACAATGGTAGTTTCAGGCAATATGAAAGCTGAACCAATGACAATTCCATGACACTGTACCAAGTTTTTTTTGGGCCACTCTGCCTATGGAAGTAGACAAGATACAAATAGAGAAGTGCTGCATAGACACACACAATATTGATCATTTATAAATATTCGTATAAGAGAATACTTACTCTCCTTGTGCTGTTAACCCAGGCTGCCAAAACTGAAAATAACAAAGATATGGTTATATATCATCGATATAACAGTGTATGTAATAAAACATGGATATTACCAGTAACTTGGACACCCAGGCCATCAACTTGTACAAGTTATGAATAGAAATATGAAACTATTGTTTGAAAGGGTTGGTAAAGAGGTTCTCAACCTTTATATGTAAATCAGGACAATTTATGGTTTATATCTGCATCATTTCAATTTTCAGTCAGATGCCTGTAATTTCAGCATTCATAGAAATGTTAAACAGTGTGGAAAAAGCTGTAATATTATCTATGGGCTTTCCTTGTCATTAAACACTTAATGGAATTATAAGAACCACAGTTATCAAACTGAAAATTGAAATGGTGTCCTGATACATATAAAACATTCTTACAGTCCTTTCAATGTACCTAGAAAGACCACAAAAATGAAAATAAAAAATAATATTGAAATAGAGCAAGGAATATGAAACGTAACAACATTGACTAGACTAAATTGTTAGGCTAGCTAAAGGAACATAACTCCATCAACCAAGTCAGCAAACTAAAATTATAATCAAGCCTTCTCCATTTCTTTGTAGGGCATTATTAATCCTATTTCAAAAAATCAAAACGTCACAAATGGGCCAAGTAATTTTGTTGTATTAAGTATATTTTCTGAGATAAATCCAAAAAGTAAATCTGAATTTAAAAATGTCCTTTCAGAGGTTTCAATTTGAAAAGTTCATTATTTGAACAGTCATATTAGTGTTAAAAAGGTAATGACATGAATATTGCAAAATTTTGAAGTCAAATGGAAAAGGCTTGTAGGGGGAAACCACTCTAATACATGCCAACTCACCGGGGTAGCTCCCGGAAATCCAGATCTAACGGGCGACATTCCAGATAGCCCACTAAGACCAGAAGCGATATTTTTGTTGTGCATGGCGCTAGCTGACACTATCTGTGCAGACGACATGGAAGCCATTTGTTGGAGGGCTTTATCACGACATGCCTGGTCCTGAAGATTAGAGAGAGGCAATCGTAAGCCCACATCAGAGGAAATGACCTGAGCAGACGACATAGACACCATTTGTTGCATCACTTTATCTCGTGTTGAATCATCCTGAAACAGATGCAGAGAAAACCTCAGAAAATTTCCTATCAATTAGTTATTTATAGTAATCAAATATCGATTCCTACATCTTACTTAGATTTTTAAAATATCTTTTTCAAAAAATTACTTATATCTTTTTTATTAAGATTGAATTTACATCTAAATATATATTTCTTTCCTTTTCATAGATCTAAATTCATAGAATAGTTTTCAAAATAAATCCATTTCTTAGTCACTTATAAATAATATATTTAATATATCCACAATGTATAAAATTTAAAGAAATTTAGAAATAAGAACTTTGAAGTAAAGATGTTTAAGCAGTGTTTTGAATAATTGCAAGAAAAATAGAAATATAAGATTCTAATTTTGTGAAACACACAAGATTTTACAGTGAAATTACAAATAAAATGAAAATAAAGACATAAAATGATCAACTACTGTTAAAAAATTAAGAAAAATAATATATATTTTTTGTTAAATTTCTAGATGATGATGATGATGAGATGAACTTCTTTCATAAAATGTGATTTGGGACAAAATATCCTACATTTGTGTTCTATAGTTATTTATTTTTTTTTTGACATTTGCCTACTGATACAAGAAAAGCATTAAGCTCCCTTACTAATATAACATTTTTTATTGAATCAATAAAATATCGGAATAAAAAAAATGATAAATTTTGTCTGTACTATTAAATTTCCATTAAATCTAACTTATTATTTACCTAAGCATTATTGACTATTATTTTCAACCCTAACAGATCTAAGTGAGGTTTTCCCTGTATCGTTTCAGTTTTAAACAACATATCAACAATTCCGTGGTTAACCAAACTTTAACTTCTCAGTCCAGTCAAAATATTGATAAAAAAGCTTCTAAACTTTTACAACAATCATGCAAAAATACAGAAGAAATGCTCAAAATTAATCATGCAAATTTGGCATTAATCTATAATTTAAATTGTCCGAAAATTTTTTATATAAAGGAATCAAATTTTCTGCCTATTCTAACCCTGTATTTGAACATCATGCAATAACTAAAACAAAAAATCTATTCCTCATGCACTAAGAGTAATATTGATAATCTAACTTATGAAAGAAATGGTAAAGATTGGATTTTTTACTAGAAAGAGGTGGTGTACGATTTTGTTTCAGTGATCAAACACAGCTCTGTTAAATTTGTATGCCTATTAAAATAAATTTGAACAAAAAGCTTTGTTATGGAGACTCATTTTTAAAATTTTTCAATATAGGCCTTATGCTGTGGATTTTCTGGAGGTTTTTTTTGTTCTTTTTTTTCAAGAAAAATGATGATGATGATGATGATGAATGTGTTAATAGTGCTATAGAGTTTATTGCTAACTGATCTTTCGTTAATGATAGAATTCAGTTTTTTAAATCCAATTGCATGCATTTCAGTTTTTAAATATTAAATTCAATTTCTATCAAGAACAGATTACATTTCAAGTTTGGTTTTGAAAATATGTTAGATAACATGTTTAAGATTTTTGTGGGTATAATCTCAAATTAAACCAAGTGGTTAGTATGGGGCCTATATTATATTAGTATCATATCTAGCTACTGGATTAAATAATATATAACAACTATACATTTTACAAATCTTCAGTTTAATATTATTAAGAATCGATTTTAAAATCCAAATATCATATCAGAGAGAATAGTTTTTCACTTTTCAGAAGGGTAACTAGATCTTATCAATATAACAATCTTATATTGAGATAAATCAAGTGTCTGCATTTCAGTTTCTTTTCCTTTTAGACTGTTCTCTCTTTTTAAAATTTAGTATGATATTTAAGTTTGAACCATTTTTGGCTCAAATAAATATTTATCAAATTCAAAAAGTAAAAACATAAAGTAGAAAAAATCAAAGTAAAAGTCTATGTGAAGAGTGGACAGTCGTCAGTAACCTGAGACGTCACAATAATAAATAGCATGTCAGTGTATATATGTCAGTGGCAGTGACAAGTGACGTAGAATACAAGTCATCATGATATATTGTATGTATTTACATATCCTCTACAATACTTGATATATAGACCTTTATATACTTAATTTCATTCATACAACTTTTTTTATTCCACTTGCATTGAGATAATTAAAAATTTAAGTCCCACACATATATGCCCCACAAATATGAAATTTAGATATGAAATGATTTTTTAGGTTTTTTAATTCTGATCCTTATTAAGCTAATGAATATTGGCAAGGCAAAAAAAGTGTGGAAATTATCTAATTTCTAATATATTAAAAATCTTGGGGATTTTTTTGAGGACTTTTTCAGTTCATTCACTATGCATCATATTCAAATGAACGTCTTTAGTGTTCTGAGTGTTCTGGTTTTTTTTTCAACATTGCCTCTAGATAATTGATATTATGTAGACCCTATCATACCAGTGACACGATGCTATAACAAATGCATTATTTTTAATCAAAACTTACTCTAAGCTATTATCAAAGTGTTTTTTTAGACGTTCACAATGCATTGCCCTTTGATATCCACTTGACGATCTGACAAATTCTATAGGCCTAATCATACCAGTAATTAAAGACTAGTTAATCAAGGGAATCATTTGTCAGTCATTCTTTAAACGCAAACAACAAACATCAACAAAGACAACTATTGTTCAACTTTTAAACTTGTAAATAATTTAAAGAAGGCAGAAGGATCATTGTTTCAATTCAAGACCTATCCAGTCTGTGGAATAACAGGAATTTTAAGTTCCGCAGCAAATAATTTCAAAAGCCTGAGTTAACGTGATTGAAGATAACCATGAATTTTTGATAGAGTATGTCTCTTAATGTTCAATTAAACGATTGATTAATCAAACTGTCGTCAAAAACTTTGTCATTTAAGATTCCATTATCTAAATAACGCGAAAGATTCTAAGTTTTTAATTCTGATTTTGAATCAGAAAGAAGCAACCACGGTTCCAGGAAATTTAAAAACATTTTTCTTAAATTTCTCAACAATTCTGAGATTCCATAGCTGATCAAAAGATATTTTTGCTTTTTAAGTGCCCTTTGGTATCTGTGTAATAAAAATCTGTACAATCCAGACAATTCCGTTCATCTGTCTTTCTATAAATATCTACATCAGAGTTAGATTCTATTTTAGATGAAATAAGGGTTTTAAAGAATGATTTTCTTTTCTTGTATATTAAACTGAAGACTTTTTGATGGTGCAATTACAATACAAATGCAAAGTCATGCAAAAGCGTAAAACTGAATAATTATACTAAGCAGTGCACGTATCTCTCATGTACTACTTTAATTTTTGAATACCACTCAAGTTCCAAGACCCACTGCTTAAAAGCATGTGCATTATATCAGATGACCTTTGATGGTTACTTTTGCACTACTTCTATATTTAGCATGTTCAGTGACCTACTTTTTAAATGCATGTGCAATTTATCATGTGACCTTACTCTGCAGAATTATTCAGTCTTACATCTAAGCACAGTAAAGATAGAGAGAAAGTATAAGATAGATAAATAAAAGATTTCCTTCATACCGGTACCTTAAGTTGAGCTTGAATTTCTTTCGATTTACGTCTGGCTAGAACTTGAATGTGACTGGAAACTTGTTTTCTGGTTCGTGTTTTTCCAGTACGTAGTTTGATGTATCGTGCTATTAATTCATTTCGGCCTGAAAAATTCATATTTATTGATGAAATTTGAGCTGCAAGAGAATAGGTACTATGAAAGCAATCCTATTATCGAAATAAATATTGTTTATACAACAAAAACAAGATATTTATGAATAGCTTTCTTTAAATTTGAATCACACAATATTCGCTCATTTATTAAGACATATATCTAGAACACCAATTCAATAGTTTTAAACTGATCTATTTCACTGACCAAAATAAGACAGGCTACCATCTAAATGATGTCCATATTTTATGTCCCATAAATTTCCATTTATGCATATTCAAATATTAATTCCATAGAATTATTCCACACAATATCCTAATTTCAAACTTATCACCAAGCAAAATTTCAAGAACTATTAAACGACCAAAAATTTCAACAAATTTTAAGTCAAATTAAATGATTTTTTTGTCAAAATACTTGATTTTTAATGAAGAAATTGGCAAGATTTATTTAAATGATGGATTAGTCTTATGATAATTAATCATAATTAATATTTCCTCGTTACTATGTATTAATTAATTTATTCATTTTCTTACTAATTAGGGTATATAGTAAAATTTTATCTTGGTGTCAAATGTCTATTACAAATCAGCCATAAGACGAACATCAACTGATTTTATCAATTTGCTTTTGTTGATGTCTGATCAAGATTTTCTGGAATTACAGCCATCATACAGATACAGTTATAAGTATCCGTCAATACCAATACAAAGGCTTGTTTGAATTCCTTAAATCGGTCTTCTAGACAAAAACACAGGAATATTTTGCAAGAAGTTAGGTACAGCTGTATACATATCAGAGACATCAGAAGAAATAAAAATACAAAAACAAGTTTGCATTGCTCCCTTCGCCCATTTCTTAACGACAATTTTTTACTTAATATGATCCTACTATAACATAATGTATGAATGAAACAATATGGTATAATTTACGTCTGATAAAATCATATCATAATACAATTATTAATCTTAGTTATCATATTAGGATGTGACCCAAATTATTGTGAACTTTTGTCAAATTGTTCACCAAGTTTGCTTCGCTTTGCTGCACTGAAAGTTTGATAGGAAAGTTAACCCCCATTCTAAACGAGCTCTCCTGATGCAGCATGGGATGAGCATTTAAGTTAATTTGATAGCAAAGAAACATCAATTTTCAAGGTTTGATTTCCGATCAATGGGTTGTGTTATACAGATTGTCTTGGCAATGGTTTTTCATGAATAACCAAAGCCCCAAGAGCTCGGGTTAGGGTTAGAAAAGAGATAGAATACAGATGAAAATATAACCTTTTCAAGGTCATTTGACATGCTTTTAGATCAAGGATCAGCTGAGAGAAAAGATCCTTGTCACCCAAATTTTCTCAGAAAAACTTTTTTTTCATTTTCTAAAATCTTAAAAGGAAACCCAAAATCAGAATTTACAATAATTCGAAATTAAATGACAATTATCGAACAGGTCGCAGGCAATGTCAGAATTAAAACAGGATATAGATAAAGGTGTAGCTAGACACCAGTAATAAGAAACTAGCTATAGATATACCTGTTTATATAAACCTAGGGGTAAGTTATAGTGGCCTAGTTGCCGAATTGAAGCTATTACTCATCGTGAGTCATACCTAGTTTCTTTATCTATTTGTACACAAACTAAATCGACCTAACAAACATTCAGTGTAAGCTTACGATAAATTAAATGTCATAATTCAATACCTCGTAGGTTGGCTTTATTCTTAGCATTGTAAAGATTACATATAGAGAATATTACAAAGAGAAACCCTAAATACACCCAAAAAACATTTCTTTTGTGTCATATTCTTATCCCTTGGGTTCACTGTACTAGAAGTTCAGAATTGACAAGGGAAAACTGATGGTTATACAGAATATCAAAACAAGAAACCTCTAGTAGGTATTCCTAACCCATGGCTTGTGGGTACACACGATGTTAAATTGGACAAAAGCAAATTGTTTCATTAAAAAAAAATGTTTAAGGCCCCAGGAGTTAAGAATGGACTAAAGAATGGTTGTAAATGATGATTTTCCAAATATAAAGCAAGACTTTGAATAAAGAATTCTGCTGCAAAATATAAAAAGAATGACTTGGTACTTATTTCTATTGGGAAATTAAAAAAAAATATCATTTTTCAATATTAAGACTGTTAAAAAAAAGAAAATTATACCCGTCAAAAAATCACATACAATATGTACATGTGTGAAAAAGAGGGAGGGAGTCTACACCTTTCTTAGACAAAATGTTTTAAAACGCCTTTACACGAAATTTACTCGTAATTTATGAAGCGTGTCTAATGATCTACTCAAGGTAAAAAGAAACTGCATTTAGTAGAAATTTTCAACAACTTTACTGAGCCTAAAACAAACAATAATATAGAAGTTTGTATAGAAACTAGAGCACAATTAGACTACTATACAATATTGACTCAAAATGAAATGTCAACTCTATACTTCCTTTACATATTTTTAATTTTACCACAAAAACTTCTTTCTTTATTGTAACCTACTTTGACCAAAGTTTTTAGTATTTTATAATAAAACTTGAAATTCTGGTATAGTTTTGAGTTTTAATTTAGTTTTCAATGAAAATGATGATGCAAGTTTTGAAATAGTAAGTTATCTGGACAATTTTGGTCAAGTTGGACATAAATAAACTCCTTAACTTCAGACCAAGAAACCTTCTACAGATTATGTAACCACAGCTACAACAACCTTGTCTTTTTCCTCAGGTGGATATAAGAATACATGAAATTAAATAGGTGCCTAAAATGATACTAGTCTGAGTTAAAATAATTGAAACTTTTAAGGTTTGCTTCAAACTTCAATCCAAATTACATAAACTTGAATAATTCATATCCACTTAAACTTTGTTGATATCCCAAAAATTTGAGTTTTGTACTCACCATACATTTTCCCTTCATCTGAGAGAATAATCTTTCTACGCCCACATGGTGGATATATAGCCAGGGCTTCCTGGAAACTTTGTTCAATATCAGGACTCCAAACTCCCTCGGCATCCTGGAGGTCTTCCATATCCTCCTTGTTTCCATTGGATGGAGGAGCTTCTGAATTCTCAGAGTTACTGTTCCACGTTGACGACATAGCGCCGTTCTTGTATAACTGAAAAATGTAAAAGCATTATTAGAATTTAAGATTTCAGCTGATTAAAGAAACTAATTGAAGTTTCTGAAAAGAATTTTATAGGAAATGCTACAGGATACTAATTTTGGTAGTAACGTTAAAAAGAATTTCCTGAAACCTAAAAACACTATCTACAGAAAAATAAGGCATATAACTTCTGAAAAGAATATTAATCAAAAATTCAAGTAAAATCAGATCCAATAAATTTCATGCCATATAAAACAAAAGCAAATAAATGAAGAATCCAAATCCTATAGCATTCAAGTTAACTTTAACTATTTCTTTGATAAAAACCCTAAAAATCAGAGCTCAAAGGAATGATTTTAGAATTATTTCTCTCTCATTTTCAATTTTCAATAAAATTCAGTTATAAGAATTCCTACAGTAGAGTGTCCAAGGAAGACCAATGCACAAAAAACAAGAAAATTAAATAAAAACTGTACCCAATAGTTAGGCTGCATCTTGTATAATGTTTGAACAAAAACTAAAATGATTTCTGATCAGTTGTCACAAGATAAGGTTTAGTTTAAATTATTCAGAGCTAGGTATAGTCATGCAGAAAATTTAAATCATTGGAAGAAAAAGCACGACATTCCTTATAATGTGGATGAGAGGACAAGAACTTGTTTTGCACTGAGATTCTAGTCTAGATTAGAGCATGTAGGCACTGACAATGGGCCAATTTCAGAAGGGTCCGATCACTGAACACCATCACATCTCAATTCGTGATCAGAATCTTTCACATGGCAAGATTCATTGAATCAATTACAAGACAAAAATTGTTCTGACAACTATCGTATCTTATATCCTCATCAGAATTCTAAAGGGGTCAACTTGCAGCTAGATTGATCTGATCCTTCAGGGTTCAATTCAGACAAGAGTACCTTTGAGTACAAACACAAATCTTTTCTTGTCAATGGTGTTCAGAAGGGACTATACTGGGTTGAACTGGGGTGAAGGCAATGCCCCTTGTGCTAAAGAAAATACACATTAAAACATCCCTAAATAGAGCAGTTGGAACATGGGAATTGAAAAAGCTCAAGTAAGTTAATGCCAGTATACCGCTCTACAAGGTAATATCTGTCTTTATTAACCCAATCAGATGAAGAGAATAGGGTTATACAATTTATCTCATTAAAACCTGAGAATCTTCAGTACACTCATTGCACAGGAGGAAGATCTTTAACTGAGCTATATAAGATTATATCTAAACACATGTTTTGTTAAGTGTGGGATGATAGAAATAAATACAAGTACTTGTTTATGATTCATTTCACCTCATTTGATACACATGACAGAATATCTACTATCTTTCATTCAGTTTCTCCTTAATAATTACTCTTCTTTCTTACACTCTTTTTCCTTATGGTTAATTCATTGATAATAAACATTAATTCTCTGCCAATTTCATTTATATACAATAACGCCCTGCTAATTTCATTGATAAATATTACTGCTGTGATCTTTTCATTCAATTCTCATTGTATCATTTCTTATTTTATTAGTTACCAGCCAATAAGATATCTAGTTTCACATGACTAAAAAGACTTCTATTCAAAGTCTAAGTGGTAAATCACAAATATGGTTAACACTCAATACTAAATATTTTGAAAAGCGATCTATATATTTGTGACCTCAGTTGACCTTTAAATATAAGATTTACATAAAGCACGGAAGTGATATGATTCACTGAAATGACCTCATCAGAATTTAAAAGTTGCATTTTGAACATAAGGAATAGTAGAAAGTTGGAAAAGCTCGTTTTTTTTGTTATTCTGTTTCTAAATTTTGTCAAACACAGGTTTAGTACTGCAGATTAGCTGTAATTAAATTAAGCCTGACTATGTTGACCAAGTTGATAAAAGTGTTGTATTGTCATGTTCCTAAAACTCATATCAATATTAGTATTGAATTAGCCTACGTACAAGTGTTATATTAGTTTATTCTATAATAAAGTTTGGTTATGTCTAACTTATTTTACTGTCCTACACTATGAACCTTCCACCACTGAAACATAGTTAGTAACAAATGTCAGAATGTTATTGTCACAAGCTTCTATAGCACTGAAATCACCATTTTTTACGAGCGCTCTATTTTTGCACATTTTGTGAGTTTATAAACTCATAAATTCAAACAAAGAATACACAAATATATATAGCAGTTTCAAAGTACACACACAATACAAACATTTTCAGAGTATTGTATTATTTACGTGACAAAATTATTGAATGTAATTTTCTTATTAAGCTGGAGTTTCGTCCATCTATTGTAAGTATATCGAAAAAAATTACTTGTAATATTATTTTATTACCCTCTGAAAATATACAATAAGATTGTAAAGATCACTGACATATATCTATTCCATATCACGCTATGTTGCTTATCGTAGCTTGTGTATTGTGATATGCGTAGAATGTTTGGCAATATCCAGCACCATTCTAGCACCAATTCCTACCTGATTTGTATGAGATAGCATTTCAAAGTCAATCAACAGCTGATTAAAATTTTCTAAGATTTCCTAGCCTTTTTATTCCTCATCACTTTCAAAAGGTAACTGCATTTACCTGGCAACAATATACAATATTGCATTCAGAAATTATACAATCAAAAGCATTTACACATTATTAATTGATTTAATTAATACATGCGCATAAATTAAGTAAGCTTAGGCACTCTCATGAAAGATAAAAATTATCAGTGAGTTTGACATGTTTTATAAAGTAGGTTTAGATTGAAACACCTGTTCTCGTGCTAGCTGTTTATCTGAGCTTTACACCACTTTCTCCTGGCATGAAACATCGGTTGGTGTACTGGCATGAAACATAGATAAGAACGTTGGCATTAACCAGGGTAGGTTGTCATGAACTTTTAAAATATAGTAATACAGGGATCTCTGTAAGGAATTATAAGATAGAGAAAATGGAAAATATCACATGAGGAACACAGGATCCACAGACTACTATGTGAGATAGCAGTGACATTTTGCCACTTCTAAGATGATTTGGAAAGCAATGTCTTCATCCCTCAAACCATTTTTGGTGGTTTTATTTGGAAATAAAAAAAAATACTGTAAGCTAGGAAAATAGAGGAATTCCTCTAAAAAGACAAAGTCTCTGATCCCTGATAATATTAATATCTTTCTGGGACATTAATTATGCCAGGCCTGATTATAATCTAACCCTTTTACAAAGTAAAATCAAATGTTATTAACACTGTTAGATCTTGATTGTAAATGCAACATTTCTTAAAATTTCAACTCATATTTGTTGATTGCTAAAAAAGATATGTTAAATACAATTACCTTCTTGATGTTATTTATACAATAAATGCGTGGGGTCTTATTGACGTTTTAAAAATTTGTTTTTACACACGAGCATGGTTTGGCACACAGTATGTTTATATATATTCTATAGTATGGAATATTGCTAAGTGGTGAAAGATCAGCTGGCAAGAAGAAGAAAAGTTGTACACCTATCCTACATCTAAAATGTCAGTTTTACCCTGAAACACATGTTTCCACTTTTAACATGACTAGACTCTTATTCCATCGTAAAAAGTAAAATACAAGTAAAAAGGATCCACTATTTTACATCCTCTAGGTTGGCTGACAATCCTGGCTTACCTAGTCACAGAAAGATTTTGAATTTGGAATGTTATTAGACTCAGAAGCAGGAAGATAGATCAGCTTTCAAGTTCATCTGCTAGCTTATTATAAAACAAATTTTTCTGACAACTTTCTCTTCAATAACCCATAGTATTAAGAATGAGGAAGTTCATAGAAACTCAAAGCACTGGCCGAGGTCACAAATAAAGAGATCTGATAAAAAAAAAAGTGAAGAGTCTATAGAAATATAATTAGACTTAGTCAGTAATTAAGATGAAAACAATACATAACATAACTGATTGCGGAACTGAGCCCTATGGATCTTGGATCTAAACTCCCAAAACCCCATCACAGCCACTTGACTTTAATTCTAACTTAGATATTTAATTTATATATATATTTTAGTCTAATGTCTATGTATACAATCATTTATTTGGATGTAATCACATAAATCATACAGGGAGAAAACATGTTTTTAAAATAGATATATCTTGTCTAGGCTATATCTAATATCAGTTATTACTTTAACAATTATCAAATATAAATTTTGTGTTTTGTCAAATTGGTCATTTTATCAGCTTTTTAAAGAGAAAGGTAACTAAATGGTTCAAAAATATAATAAAAACATTGCTTGAACATGTATAAAAAGTTGACAAAACACTGTCCATAAGCTTATTGTTATTCAGTGAGTTTTGTAAACCAAATCATCTTTCACCTTAAGTTGTAAGAAATATGTAAGAACCCACAAAATGTTAAAAATAGATTACAATCCTAACAAATATATGACCTATTCTAACATTAATTAAAAGTGAGTACACCAGACTAATTAGCAAATGCAATTTACCTGGCCTAACATTTTCCTCTGATCACTGCTAATTTCCTTAATTACACTGGCATATGAGCTAATTGAACTTTTCAGACAGACATCATAATCATTGTTTTATTCATTATACATTCATTATCAATATCTCATATTCAAATTATATTATAGAATACTACTCATATTACACTTTTATCAGGGCATTATGAACCATGGAATATATCAAACTGGGCAGTATCAACCCATGAATTATGAAACAGGTTGTTTTCAAGGGACAATAATAGCAATATAGATAAATAAATCAAAGTTGGCCTATTACATCCTGATACACTATTCTGTATTTCACTGAACTTATGATAAGACAAATTATATCAAATGAAGTTTAACATCCTATTATTCATATATTATTATTCTATCATGGGATATAAGCCATTTCCAAGTTTTGTAATTAAGGTCCTATTTCAAATT